GTGCGCTACCCTCTCTCTCTCTCTCTCTCTCTCTCTATATATATATATATATATATATAGTCTAGTGATATCCCGTAAATTTGCAAAATCCTGATGAATTTAAAATTAACAGTGAAAAATATATTTTATATTCTAGTCTGATTTGTGGAATCACAATATTTGGTACAGTATTCTCAAGTTTGGTTCACTCTAATCCCACACTGACTCGTCTTGGAATTTTGAAGATCATGAAATATGCTGGTCCTGGTAGCACTGGATTAACATTTACATGGTAAAAGAAAATTTTATTTGTGTCCCTTATGTTTATTTACCAAAGAATTCTCCTAATTAATTTGAGACTTAGTGAAACTCTATTAGATGATTTAAAAATACGGAACTTTTCTCTGAAACCTCTTTAATCTTAATTTAGCATACAGGTATATTTAGTATTAGGATACTGAAACATTGCTGTTGGACCAATTAATTACAGATTTTTTACTCTTCAACTTATACTATTGAATATACCTGATATTTTCAAAGTAATCTTGTTAACCTATCAAAATATTTATATGAACATCCTTCATGCATATAGATTATCTGATTATATTACTCTGATGGTAAATAACCGTAAAAATTTGTGCCTTTCTCAGTAGAGATACCGATGATACAATAAGAATCAATATTTGCAACTTCTATAGATTACTAGCCTGAAATAGGAGAAAATCAATCATAACACTAGATTTGTAGAAATTAAATATTGCTTTAATTCTGCCATTTAAATGCTGCCTTACAGAATAAATCTAACTCCTATAATTGCGCTTGCACTTTTAGTCACATTAATTCATTTCATTTGGTACAATATGACGTAAAATAAAAATTTTAAGTTAATATTTTAATATTTAGGTTATACATGATGTTTAGTAAACTACTAACTCTTTCATAGTTTAAGTCAAACGTTTGCATGATGAGTGTTTCACCTCTTGCAGATGGTTAAGTAAAGAACTACTACAAATGCAAATATATGTAAGCATCTATCAGAAACACAATCACCGAAAAGCAGATGCCATGGAATCCCGTATGTTAGGGAATATCGAATGCATTACGGTTTAATGTGAATGTTCCTATTATTTTTTCCTTGACGGAAATACTGGTCTCATTCACAAATTTTGATAAAGCTAAATATTTTTGGTGCAGGAAGAGTTCCTATTTTAAATAAAGTTTTGATATAATCTTCCGAAACATTTTGAAAAATTTATGTAAACGGCCGTTTGTTCTATTACCTAGCTAAACAGATTTTTGCAGGAGTCAAAATGCTTCAGAAAAATTACGAATTTTTTAAATAAACTAATTTGCATAAAAAGTTAAGCCCAGTTTCAATACTCACCTGAAGTTTAAAAACTCCCTGAAGGGCATCTGCTGCCTAAATAACAAATTTTTTAACTGATGTTTCAACGCCTATTTATGGATAGCTAGCCTCAATAAATGAAACGACATTTAGTAGGTTTAATTTAAGTAAGTACTTATTATCAAGTAAAATAAGTTAGTTCAGTTGGACGGGGCAAAAGGAACTATGAAAGAATTCAGCTCATTATTCCGCATCAATTTAATTTTATTAAAAATCGCTGTCAAACTTATTGAGAACTAATTTTGTTTGCCTATTTCATAGTAAATTATTTTGATTAAAAAGCAATTACAAATTTATTAATAATTAATTTTAGTTGAATCAGAACATAATAATTTATTTATTTATTAGTATTAACTAATTATTTTAATGTGTGCATTTTTACTGGAGTTGGCTATTTTTCTCCTTTTTACAGGATGCCTGTTCTATTCTCTTCGTTTGGCTCCTTTGGTCGCATATTATGTGGCCTCTTCTTTTTGTGCCTGTCATTCGCTGGTGTGACATCTCTAATCTCTAACGTTGAATTAACAGTTATGACTATCAAAAACGTTGGCGGTAAGACAAAAAATTATCTTGATGATCGCAACCCGTGATGTAAAATAAAATGTATATTTTTACATGATAAAAGGATTACCTTCGAGAGTTTACTTTAAGGAGTTTCAGAGAGTTTAACTTGCATTAAAATAGCTGAAAAGTCCGAATTTGAGCCTAATTTTTCATAATTCTCTCCTAAGTTGCATTAAACGGATCTAAAACTATTAAATCAAAGTTCCTACCAAAACTCAATGTTATCATGAGAAGGAAACATATAATTATAGAAAATACTTTTGTAGGGGCTGAAAAAAATTTAAATTTTTCTATATGGCGATGGCTAAGTTGTACAGTTTAATATCCTCTGTATGTCACAACTTAACCCTATTAAGACTTAATGAACATGAGTCATAGTGGTCATATTAAGCACATTTGTATACTCCTTTAATTTAAATAACTATTACTTAATAGAAATTCTTTTATTAATTTCCTTATCCCTTAAGTTCATATTAAAATATTTCAATTAAATACAGAACTATAAATAAGTGGGGTGTAATTTACGTGTAAATTCTAAAATGACAGAAAGATTCTTATATTATAACTGTTTCTCCTTTGACCTAGGACCTAAAACCAAGCACAGACTTCTGCAATCTAAATTCTCAATCTAATTCATTATTCATATAAACAGAAGTAAACGGAAAAAGAAATTTAGAGTTATTATTTATCGTGTTTAAGTAGAGTTTCGAGACTAACAGTAAATGAGTAATATAAGATGTATTCACCCTATTTCGCTTAAGGGGATGAAGGACTGGTAGTAGAATTTTCCCACAATGATGTA